CATAGTGGGAAGGCCTTCACAAAATCCAAGCAGCATCTTGCTCTTGCCCACAATATGCCTATTAGGATATCCCTTGCCTGCAGCATGACAAAAATAAATAAACATAAGGTGGCAAGCAAGAAAGAGATTATGAGATAATCTGTTAAAAGTAAAATGCACATGGCCAGAACATTCGCTTAAAATTTGAAATCATGAACAATTTAAAGATTTTAGCAATGACTTAGGCTTCATGTAGAAGCTCTTAAGCCTATGTGAATATTTTGGCGGCAGAAACCTATTAAGGAAGAAGAAAATATAATCATAGGTTCTGTGACTAGTTTGGTGAGACCTACAATGCTTTATAACGCAAAATGTTGGCCATTAAAAGTGAAGCATAAAATTAGGTTAAGTGTTGCTGAGATGAGGATGCTTCGGTGTATCAATGGCATCAAACTTAGAGACAGAATGTGAAACGTGTATATACATGAAAATGTTGGATTAGCTAGTGATAGATAAGATTAGAGAGGGTCGCCTTAGATGGTTTTGGACACATAAAATGTTGGCATGTTGATGACTTGGTTAGGAGAGTAGATATATTAGACTTGACCTATGTTAAGAAAGATAGAGGTACACCTAAAAGATTTAATTAGAAAATATTAAAAAATACATTTTTATTAGATTTAAATGAGAATTTAACTTTTAACATGACACAATGAAAAAAAAAATTATTCATGTAGCCAACCCCATGTAGTGGGAGAAAGGCTTGATGTTGTCGTTGTATTTCAAGATTCGTTAAGAAAACTATGAAGGACCAAATTTACAAAAACTAAAAATGCTAATCTCTAATCCCATTCTATCACTCATTGAGGCCGAAGAATAAAGTCAGCCAACATGAACTCTAGCATCAAATCCATTCTCCAAAAAGTATTATACCATCCATTCTTTAAATGGTTCCATATTATGGATGAGTTTCCCAAAGAAAGAAAATCATCATCAGGCAAAAACTTGGTTTTGATACTTAAAAAGAACCAGAGGGTCATGCAATGGCAAAAAAAAAAAGAAGAAGAGCATGTTGGATAACTAATGCCGCATGACAAAGTTAAAAACATAAAAGACTATCCAACAAACCAATGATAATGAGTATTACACAAATAACACAAATAAAATTTATCAAGTACAATAATCCAAAAAAATCCTCATCAAGGAACAAATATATTTTCATGAAGAACAAATGGAATAGAAAACAAAAAATAAAAATATAAGAAAACTGAAGGAAAAAAATATACTCATTAATTAAAAGCCATAAATTTACCAAGGTAAACAATAAACAATGAGCAGAAAATTATAATGAAGAAAGGCAAAATAAAAGTAATCTTTCAATGCTATCTCAACGGATAAATATTAGCTTCACAATCAGCTGTATAAATAAAAGTAAATTTCACAAAATGAGTAATATTGCATTTTGGAGAGAAGCAGACAAGCAATTGCTTAGCTTTTGATTATTTTAGTTCTTAAACCTTCAATTAATCAATATTCTAAAGTAGATAAATTCATGTCAATACTTACAATAGTTTTAAATGGTCAAATATAATGAAAGCTACATAACAAAAGTTTTAAGGAAATCTGTCTCTTAGGGCACCAAACGTTTGCAAATTTCAAGCCATACGGACATTCAAATTGGTGTTCCCTTATATGAAGTATAATATGCATGTGCTTTTGCTATACCAAAAAATCAAACCCAAGTAAAAACATCAGTATGATAACCTTGGCCAACTGATCATACAAAAGTACACATACCTCCATGTTCTGATCTTGTAGAGTTAACAATCACTCCATCCATGGTTCGAATGGTGCAGTGAAATATGACCTGTAAAAGAGTCAACAGGAAAAGATGAGATTAATTCACTAGGTGTCCTGCACAGAACCCATAGGGATCAAGCAGTATAGCAGAGCTAGCATGCTCACTGTTCAAATACTGCAGTTTGAACAAGATAAGGGCACCACAGTAAAGTTGATAAAAATTCAATGTGAAATTTTCATAATTTTGATAATACAAGAGCTTACAAGGCATTACCTAAGACTCAATAAAAAATATTGAATATATATAATATTCTTAAATAAATCCGAATATACCAGAATGACAGTCAAACAATAATATAATTTCATTCATACCTCCTTATAGTAATTAATAATCTTGATGCAAATAGCAGCTTTAAGAAATCATACCTGATCCCCTTCAACAGGTTTTGTGGTGCCCTCTCCAGATCTAATCATTGCTTTCATCAAACTTCCAGGAGTAATGTTTTTCTTTCTGATAAGAGAAATTTAAAAATATTGCAGCAGCATTAGAGTTCAGTTAGAATGATATAGCCAGCAACAAGCACCATGATTCTAACTATTTCCAACCATATAAGCACAGCTATGAAGAACTTCATAGTTCAAATTTGTTTTGTACCAATATAAGAAGTACAATTATTATGAAAATGACACTGATAGACCAAGTTAATTCAGCAAATGAAGATGAAATCGGTAAGGCTGAAGTTTAAGCAACAAAACAAAAGCTCAATGACATTGGTGCAAGAAATTAAATATTGATATGCAAGCATCATAAGCAAAATTTAAACGTCATTATGTCAAAAACATGATGGAATGAGACAAAAAATCCATGCAATTATCCCATGCCTCTACAAAGGCTAGCTCTTTATGGTTAGGAGAACCACAGCACCCACAACCAAGCCATTAAGCAATTCATAAAACATTCAATGGAATATGAGAATTAAAAGGGGCAAAGTTTATTCTTCAGATAT